CCAGCCCAGACCCTGTGTCCTGTCCCGTAGGGGCTCTGGTGAACTTGCCCCGATGTACAGAAGCCAGGTGGCATTGTGTTCTAGATGTGGACAATGTCACTTAGCTCATGGTTGGCCACTGGGTGAGATCTCTGGGCCTCCAGAGCACCCCCAGGGTTCTCCGGAGAAGCTGAACCTCCCGGGAGGGAAGGATACAGAGATAGGCAGGTAAATGCATACCTATGTACATACATAGATGAAGGTTGGGCCTTGGGGGCTCCCGAAAGACTCTCAGGATCTCTCTTTGGGATAGATGCTTCTTACATTTCTCAGTCACTCTGGGACTGGAGTTAGGCTCAGGCTTGAATTGCTTTGATAAAGGGCATCCTTTTTTTCTTTGAAATAAGAGTTCTGAACGTGTCAGAAAATTGGAGATAACAAAATCAGGAGAGGGTTCTCCTCCCCACCCTGGTGCAGTTACCCTGGTTACCCTGCTGAGCAGAGGGACCTGGCCCCATCACTTCACATGCGAGACAGCAGCAGGTTCTGTGACCCCACAAGCTACCGTGCTGTTGCATCGGTGGTGCTCTGGGCTGTTTATCAGCTTGCAGGAGACACCTGCTTCCAAATGCCTTGGGCCCCACAGGGCTTCTAAAGCACGAGAGGACAGGCTCGTGTTCATTGTAGCTTCACACGAACAGCATTTTCCTCTCTTACGAGCCTAAGTGTGGGCAGTGAAAAATGCAGGTCCACCCAGCTGTCCTGTGTCGTATCCTGCGTCTACCTATCTGCCCGCCTATCTTTCTGTTCCACATGCACAGCTTCTGTTTGCGGCATGGCTAGCATTATTTAAAGCTCTTTTTCACTTGCTACCTGTAACTCATTTAAACCTCATAACAACCCTGTGTAGTTTAGTATTGCCATCTGTCTTGGTTACTTTTCTCTGGTTGCTGAGACAAAATACCTGATGCCCAGAATTAAGGAAGGAAAGGTTTATGTAGCTCACAGTTTGTGGAGGTTTCAGTCCATACTCAACTGGCTCCAAGGCAGAGTAGCACACAGCAGAGGACAACAGTTCAAGGTGACAGAAAATAGCAAAGCAGCAAGAGTGAAAAAGGGAGGAGCAGCAGCAAGCAGCCTCCTTCCCTCCCTTACACTGTATGCAGACTACTCTCCTAGGGTGTGTGTAGCACTCACACCCATGAATCAGTCATAACCTGTAGAAGTCTGCCCCATGACTGCATGAGGCTTTGGGGGGACATCCAGACACAAACCATAACACCATCCTTTTATACGTGGCAAAACTGAGGCAGAGATAAAAACAACTTGCCTGAGATCACAGTCAGAAAGTGGCAGTCCGACTGTGAAGCTCAAACATGTGGCTTCAGAGCCTGTGTTTGTGACCTACTGTGCACAGCCTGCCATCAGCAGAGCTTCGCTCTGCCTGGCATGGAGTCAGATCCTCACTTGTGGACTTTGGTCTTGTGCCCTGCACATCTGCAAAACCCAGTAGATGAGATGTGCCAGTGGCGCAGCAGTCCCTGAGTGGGAGCAGCAGGGCTGGGCGATGGTTCCAAAGCCTCCCCGCTGGGGATGCAGGCCCACTGATGTTCCCAGACAGGGAAAGGGAAACAAAGCTGGAGAGGAGGACATAAGCCACCTTCTCGCCAGCACACCGAAGGTCCCTGCACACAGCTGCGTCCTGTCCTCTAAACATGCCCTGTGATCACTGTGGCCTCTGGGGGCCGGCTCACTCGGAGTGGCCTGTTTCGCACTTCGCTGCAGTTGGGCTGTGCGTTGGGGACTGGGAGGAGCCGTGGGCAGCCAGACTGCGCAGAGCATGGCGGTGTGATCCCGGAGAATGAGGGATTTGAGAGTCCATGGACCAGGGACATTGTAGCATGTTCTCATCGAGAACACGTGTCCCTCTCAGGGAAGTAGCCGCTGTGGGATCCTCGAGGCATCCGCCCCCTGCCTGAAATGTTCTGTCCACTACATCATCTGCCCACGGCCCAGATTCTTCACCTCGAAACAGTGTTCAGTGAGAATGGAACAGTGTTTTCATAGAGAGTAATAACTGTTTTTTCTTTTTATGTAAACAAAGCACAGATCAATTTAAGGAAGAACAGTGGTGTGTGTGGGGTAGTCTTGCAGAATTGTGAGGGTGATACAGAATGTCCCTCATTTATTCAGTTGTGTACTCATCAGATATTTATTGAGTGCTCACTGTGTCCCAGCAGTGTTGTGTGCCCCAGATTCAGGCCGCTTCCTTTCTCATGGGGGAAGACAGAGAGAATGCAAACTGGTCAACATCTTAGGAGACTGTGGATGCTACAGAGGCGGGCACTATAGGGGGAGGGGACAGGAACGACGGAAGGGGACCCTGTTTTAGACTGGAAGACATATGAGTAGAGACACAAATGACAGGAGGCAGTGGGCCTTGCACTTATGTGGGGAAAGAGCATTTAAGAAAGGGGGAACAGCAGGCGCAAAGGCACATTTGGGAAACCCTAGGCTAGAGGTTTTTCTAGTGTCACCTCCCACACTGTGATACAGCCATGATCCAAGTACGGGTGTTGGGTGATGAAGGTGTGGCCCTCAAGAACCTGGCGGCTGAAGGGTTCCTGGGTTTGCAGGGAGCACACAGCAGATCTATTAATGGAACCTTGAGTTCACATGTCCCCGGAGATGGAATGGTTGGCGGTAACCCAGGCCCCTGCGTTATCTGTTTGCCTCCTGAGGGGAGAAGAGTTATGACTCATCCAGCATTTGCTGACTGACAACAAAGTGCCCTGCAGGAGGCTGGATACTGGGACAATCAGATGCAGTTCCTGCCTGCCCAGAGCCCAGCATATGAGGACAGGGCATCTATAGTGTGGCCCATGTGCAGACAGAGGCCCTGAAAGGGACAGGGGCCTTGCTTTTGCTGTGGGGAACCCTGAGAAGGGCTCAGCAACCCAGGCTGCATCACAGAGCTGTTGTGCCTTATGGAGCTGTGTGGAGCACAGAGTGAGGGCAAAGCTGGCTGCATGATTGGGGTGCAGCCAAAATGAGAATTCAGGGCTCAATTTGAGGAAAATGCCTTACAAGCACATAGAAAGCTTTCTTTATTCCGCTGTCTCTGTCAGTGTGATATGGTGCTTTTCATTTGCTATTTGATGTCATTCGCAGAAAAAACAAAAAGCAAAAAAACAACATAGTGTGGATTTTACCATCCATCCTTATGTTGTACAGAGCCAGTTTTATTAAAGGCAATTCTCAGAGCATTTAACTGGCATGTGAATTGTGAAATGACACAGCTCATATTTTCCAGCTCATTTTCAGAGGTGTGTGAGTGGGCTAGAAGGACAGACTCAAGCCAGGCTCAGGAGGCTGGGAAGGAGGAAGAGAAGTCATGCAGGCTCCTAGGTGCCCAGGCACTGCCCTCGATGGAGGGCCCATGGCACACATGCTCGGGGCTGATAGTGGCTGAGTTTCTGCTCTTTCCAGGTGCTGGACAGCTGTGTTTTGCCCTGGCTGAGGGGGCTGGCGGGGGGTGGGCCTGATGCCTTTCCTTCCTCAGAAGCACCACCCAACCCACAGTACACAGGCATGGCCAAGGATCATTAACCTAGGCACTGGGACCTACTACCTGGGTCAGGGGTGGGCAGGAGGTTCATTCCTGCCAAGACTTAGCCTGTAGCTAACTGCCAACCAGGCACACCAAGGTGCTGCCAGCCCAGGGACTCCAGGTAGGGAGTGGGTGGGGTGCAGCTGCCACCACGCTGTGCGCAGGGTACATAGGCCTTACTTGGATCCTCCCCACTATAAGAGTCACAGAGCAGGCATGAGAGGGGAAGCCAAACAACTCCCAGGGCCTCAGGGAGCAGAATAGGCTGGCAGCAACCCATCCCAGGGAGCGGGGTGGGCAGCTCCATATATGAGCGCAGACTGCATGACCCTGCGCTGTTTACAAAACACAGGTTCAAGGGTAAAATGATTAAGGCTCCTGCCTCACAGGTGGCCCCTTCTGAGCCGTGGCCCCTGTGTGCATCCATTAGCCACCTGGGCACAAAGCAGGCCCTGGAGAGTAGAGACTAGTGATAGTTTTTCGGTCACTTGGCACTTCTGGGCCTCATTTTCCTTTGGGTCAGGCAGGGTGGAGAAGTCTGTGTCACAGAGAAGGGGCTGGCTGTAAAGTCACAGGTAGACAGGGAACCAGCCCAGAAACCTGGCCCAATTGTCTCTCTCTCCTTCTGCTTTACCCATGTTAAAGACTTAACCCTCAAAACTCTAGGAGGCAGGGATTACTATTAGCTCCTTTCTTAGGTAAGGAAGCCAAGCCCTAACTGGGTTCAGTAACTTTCTGAGTGAACAGTCAGAGGTGACATGGCTGGAGTTGGTAGCCAGGTAGCAGGGACTGCTGGTCTCCTGTCATAGCCCTGCATTCCCCTCCCCGCCATGGTCCCCATGCACTCTTCAGTCCCCACCCTCCTTGGCATTTCAGCCTCAAGCTCCACCTGGACCTGTCTGGGCCTGCCACTGGGCCAGCCATTCTCACTCAGGTCCTCACACAGGTCACCGCGGTTTGGGGAGCATCACCCCGGGGCAGGAACCCACCCAAGTCTAGTTGGTGGTGGCTGGGAAGGGAACAAAGACAATGGCCCAGAAAGAATTTAGGTGGCCTGGTGATCTTTGGAGCAGGTAGGGCAGAGTCATGTCCCTTAGGTAGGTTGCCCATCCTGGTCTGAGGGGAGCCTGACTCTTTGTCTAGGCCCAGGCCTCTGTTGGGAGCCTTCTATTCTGAAGCCAAAAGTAGGTGACCTCTGTAGGAATGATGAGTGGCAGGTCTCGCCTGGGCAGTGGTGGGAACATTGCTCTTCTTCTAGAGTCAGCTAACAGGGACTTGGCTACTTGGGGACTTCTGTTGGGGCCTGGGCCTGCCTTGCTGCCACCCCTGGCCCAGCCACTAACATAGCCACGGTGGTCTCTGGGCAGGGCGTCCTGCTCACCCTCCTTTCTCTTCTTCCCCTACATGGCAGAGCTCCATCTAGAAGGAAACTTCCTACATCGTCTTCCCAATGAAGTCAGCAGCCTACAGCACCTCAAGGCCATTGACCTGTCCCGGAACCAGTTCCGAGACTTCCCAGAGCAGCTCACCACCCTGCCAATGCTGGAGACTATCAACCTGGAGGAGAATGAGATTGCAGGTGAGTGGCCTGACCCGTCTCAGCCTGCAGCTGCTATGCAGGGCTCTATATGGCACGAGGTTCTGGCTTGCATTGGTGAGGGGAAGCCTGGGCTTGCTCATCCTGACACCTGAGCAGAGCACACTGGGCCTGGGAAGGTGGCCACTGTGTTACCCTGCATATGCCTGGGGCTGGCTTGGATAGTGGCTACCACTGGCAGTTATGGCCTCAGCTTTCCTCACAGCACAGCCCTGGGCTAGCGGCTTTCCACAAGCTGCCCTTCTGCCTGCCTGGGCTGTGCCTAGGGTAAAAATGGCTCCCACTTGGGAGCCAGAGTGTCCAATCTGTGCCTTCTACAGATCCTGGAGGCCTGGGGGCCTGGGGGCTGGGGGCTGGGGGCTGGGGGCAGGGCTTGGCTGAGGTCGCAGCCATTTCCTTCCTCTCTGTCTCATCGGGTCCTCGAAGAACTGAGCGTCCTCTCCAGTGCGCAGTCTAATCTCCCCGGAGAGAGCGGGCACTTGTCAGCTCTCTCTCTTTCTCTCTCTCATTGCCTCTAACTTTAATGCTTCTCTGATGTCACTGGTGTTACCTCTAATCCCTTTCCGTTTTGCTCTTATTTTCCTAAGTCCTCTTTAGTCTTTATGCCATTTGATGAAAAGCCAGGGCTCTGGAGGGATTTTGATTGTCTGAGGAGGTGTGCCTTGTGTGGGCCAGGGCCATCGTTCCCACACTCCACACTGCTCTCTCCCTCATCCATTCTGGAAACGGAGCAGCTTCTCCCGTCCCAGCCAGTGGGAGGGCCATGCCATGTCCTTCTTTGCCTGGCTGGAGGGAGGGAGCAGCAGAGCGTTGGCTGGAGCGAGGGGCTGGCATCACACAGGGGGTGAGGGCCTCTGTCCTCCACTGTGGAAATAGCTTGGTGCTGTTCCCCGGCTGTACCTGATCTCCCACAGGATATCATCTGGGTAATTGGAGTTGGAGCTTGAGGAGCCTTCAGAGTGGCTTATCTTTCTCCTTCAGAACCCTCAGAGCATGTTGGAAAAAGAAAAAAATTTTATGAGATTATCTCCAAGCGACACCTCCAGCATGGCCACAACAAGGCCCAGAGGCCCGCAGCATCCAAGAGCCGCCAGGATCAGCTCAATCCCTCCCTTGTTCTCGGTAGTGCCGCCAGCTGAGCGCTTGCCATCCTCTGGGCCATTTCAGGGGAGAGGAAGAGAGAAGGACCAGGACCTCAGCAGGACTGGGAGGGACAGGCATGCTTCTGTCTGCTATACGAGGCCAGTGCTAGGAGGTGGTGGTACTATACTTGGCTCACTGGTAGCTGAGCACCCTCAGGTCACAGATCTGCCACCTTGAGCTGCCAGCCCTCTGGCCTGTGTGTGTGACCTGTGACCCTTCTCTGTCCTGGAGGGTGGTCACACCCTCTGCTCTCTGAGCCCCTCTCCCCATCCCCACAGGCACCGAGCGTAGTGTCTGTCATACAGCAGTTGCTCTGTTGGTTGTACTCTCCGTGTAGAACAAAAATAAAGCCTCAAAGCTCCACTAAAATAACTGAGATGCAATAAGGTGGATCAATTCAAGTTGCAGGTTGTGATCCATCAGTGAATTGTAATGTCAAATTAGTGGGTTGAGCCCAGCAATTTTTAATGAGAATAGAATAGAAAGTGTCAAGGTACATCACATGTAGTATGGTAATTACTGTTTTGTGGGTTTTCGTCTCAGTTTTACTGTGTGCATGCACAGGTATATATTATGGATCATGATGAAAAATTCAGTTTCTTTCTCTGGGTCATGATGAAAAACATCGCAAGGGTCCTCAAAGCTCCTCTGTGGAGATGTAGGGGTCTGCCTCAGCCAGCCTCACCTCCTTCCCCAGCTCTCGCTCCCAGTCACACCAGACCCTTCATCTCCACCATGCCAACCCCGCACAGCCTGTGTTCTCTATCTGAAAGTCCTACCTCATGTCTTACCATTCTCCTCAGACATGGCCAAATCCTATAAGTTGGAAGGTCTGGGCCTGATTCAGATAAACAGGAAGCAGAACAGATGGGGAGGGTCTCTCCCCTCCCCCTGCTGGGCCTAAGACAGACGTGCATAGCGGCAGATGCCCCCCACCCAGACGGGGTACTGTCTGGGTCCTTGGGAATGGGGCCTATCAGGACACAGTTTGCAGTAGACATTCCTGAGAGAGAAAGAAGCGTTTGTAGCTTAGAGTTCAGACAGTGGTCATTCGCAAGTTTCAGGGGTATGGGATGGCCTGTTTTCCAAACCAGGAGGTGGTAAGTTGTCCCTCCATAGTCACAAGGGATTGTGCCAGGACCTTTGAAGTTGCCCAGATCTGCAGATGCTCAAACCCCTTACATAAAAGGGAAGTTATTTCCTTATAACCTACCCATCCTCCCATACCCTTTAAGTTATCTTTGGATTGTTTATGATGTCTTATACAATGTAAATGTTATGTATATAGCTGTTGTACCACTTTGTGTAAGGAATGATAACAAGGAGAAAAATCCCAGCTTAGTACAGATGCAGTTTTTTTCCCCTGAATATTTTAAATCCATGGTTCATTGACCCTGTGGATGTACAACCCAAAATACAGAAGGCTTTTAAGTATTTATGAGCAAGACTGCTTGGAAATACATAGTCTCTAGAGAAGCAGAGGCTACAAAGACAAATGAGCGGCAGGTCCTGACTTCAAGTTGCTTGCAGGCATTAGCGTGAGGAATATTAGACCACTAGGTAAGACATGGTCAGAGCTGCAGGGGGAGGGTGTGCCACAGGCTGCCAGAGACAGAACTGGCGGCCAGAGACAGGACTGGCGACCAGAGGGTGGCAGTGCATGTGTCCGGGGGATGGGGCTCCCAGGAGGAACCAGTGGGGGTCCCCGAGGAGGTGAGGCATTTAGTGTGGCCCTACACGATGTTGTGCCCATGGTGGGTCACCCGTCTTGTGAAGATAATGAAGCCAGTTCTTGCATCCCTCTAGCCAACACGTGGCTGCAGGTAGGTGCAAGACCTCATTAAGTTCTCCTTGCTTGCTCACAGCTATCTGGTGCTGCCTAGCAATTCGGTGCTGGAACATGTGGGAATGAGGGGAAAATCAAGAATCTGGGAGACCTCATGTTGCTACGCAGGAGGCTCTTTCAGTTAAGCCAGAATTTAACTTTCCATAGGCTTCAATTCTCTATTTTTTCCCTATGCACCCACACTGTTTTGAGGGTGACAAAAGATCATAAGAAAGTAAGTCCTTGGTAAGAATTTAATAAATGGAACAGCAGTACTTAAAATAAAAATATCTGTGACATAGGAGTGCTTTGGGCTTCATTTATTTCATTCTGCCCTTGTACTAACTCAGCCAGGATTTCCCCAGGTAGGGTCTCAGGCCCACACGCTGTGGCAGCAGATGAGAACCAGTCAGGAAAGCACCTTGTCAGGCCCTGCTCCAGCCTTGCTCAATCTGAAAGTCAGGCGGGGGCAGCAGCCCGTTTTTACAAGCTGTTTCCCCTCCAGATAACTTGGATGCATGCTGAAGTTTGAAAACCCCAGCTTGGGCTCCCGCTTCTCAGAGTGTCCTCAGTAGACCAGCAGTGTAGCATCCCTTGGGAGCTTGGTAGAAATTCAGAACCTCCAACTCTGCCTCCCACGTCAGAATCTGCTCTCGAACAAGATCCCCAGGGGACCTATGTGGGCAACAGTGTCTGCGAAGATCTGGCCCATGGCCTCTCCTTAGAGCAGCACATGTCATCTTGGAGAAGCTCACTCCATCCCTCCTTCCAAGCACAGAATTTCTCAAAGCACAGTGCTCAGAACAGACATCTCTCAGCCACTAGAGAGCCTCTTGGAGACTCCGGGGCAGACCCCTGGGTCCTTTCGCACACCGCCTGAATCTGTGGTTGTAGAGAGATGAAGGTGAAGGGAGCCGCATGCTTGCTCAACTTCCAGCACTACCCACTGAGGGGCAGGCTGCCTGGGCACAGTCCCACGGCCCTGGCCCACGTGCCCTTGGGGATCACCCTGAAGCCTTGGTAGCTGGTACTTCACAAGAGGTGACTGGTGAAAAGTGTTTCTTCCTGGGGCTTGCTGCCGGCCACATGATGTCGTCAGTTCCTAAGACAGGTTGAAGCGGAGAGGCAGGTTGGTCTCTTGCCCGTCTCTCCCACCTGCTGTGAGGCTGCCAGCCTGGTCAGTGAGTTAGCACCCACAGCCTCATCTGTGGAGTGGGGAGAACACAGTTCTACCCCTGGACTTAGAGCTGGGGTCAGGGTTCCCGGGGGCACCTCTCACTGTCTGCCAGTTCTCCTCCCACTCCTCACCCCAGTGCTGGCTGCTTGCTCAGCCTTTCCCTCACTGCCCGCCCTCAGCCTGCTGGGTCACTTCTTACTTTTACCCTGAGGCCAGGACACAGGAGGCAGAGGATGCTGCTCCAAGCTTGGGTGGAGGCTGACCAGTGGTCCACAGGGCATGAGGGAGGGGTCAGCTGGCTTGGGAAAGATACCACCTTCGTCCTTCTGGAGGATTCTGAGTGGCCAGCCCCAGCAGAACAAGGCACCTGCCTTTCCCCCTCACACACACACACACACACACACACACACACACACACAGGCTCTACTCTTAGGTCCCCCCATTTGGCTTGCAGGGGAACTGAATCTTTTGTGCTTCCCACTTTAAGAATAGTGGAAGGGTACTGGGTGAAGGCCTTGAGATCCAGCTTTGCCACTCACTGCAAACAGCTGCCTCCTCTGAAAGACAGGAAGAATAGTCCTTACCTGTATCCTCCAGCTCTGCCAGATGGCACTGATGCACATTCAGCAAGTCATAAAGCCCTCTGTGGACTCCTAGGGGCTGTCACTTCCTCCCTGTGTGTCCATTTAAATGGGCTCCCCTTTAAGTCCTGGCTGCGTAGATAATTATGAGTAACCTCCCCGTGTTTGAGGCCTCCTGGTTACAAATCATTTCCTCAACTGTGCATCCCCTCGTCCCCCAGACACCTGCTGAGGAAATGCAGGAAACAGAAACCATGCATTCTGAGGGAAAGAGATTCATGAGGACTTAGGTACTAAAGAAGTATTAAAAGCTGTGGCAGTGGCTGTGGGCTGGGCCACCCAGAGACACTCTCAGAGCACTACTGATAGAACCTTTCCTCCAGAGTTCCTTCCTCCTATAGTCAAGAGGGTGGGGAACAGGAGGCCACAGGGCAGCTGTGGAGCCAAGATGTTCCATGTGGCTGCTGGGTGAGCACCGGAGGCCACTGTGGCTGGGCAGGACCCTGGGACACTGAGGCAGAAAGCCACCCCACTGCAGCACTGATCACCAACCCTAATTGCAAGGAACCAAGGAAATGTGGGTTCATCTTTTCAGCAGGCTGTTTACACTCAGTGCCTCATTTCCTCCTCTGGAAGACAGGGAGAACAAGAGATTAAGTGAGTTTGTGCAGTGCAGAGCCATGCTAGTGGGCAGAGAACTTGGCTCAGTGGAGATGCAAAAGGAAGGCCCAGCAAAGGCTTGTCACATATAATCAGGGACTGTTAGAGTTGAGCAAGACCTCATGAGTTGCCCAAGCTCACACAGTGATCCTGCTGGAGCATGAAGAGATGAGAGCTAGTAACTGGACAGTACAGAATGGCACTTGGCTGCAAAATCTCAGCTGGTGCTGGTGTAGCTGTGTTCTTTCTCCTTCCCTCCCTTCCCTTCTCCCTCACTCATCTCTAAAAGGGCTATGAGATGGCCACTTAGTATCAGAGAAGAGAGAGCAACCATAATGTGTAGCTTCAGTTGGCCAAGGACTTACAAGGTAGAGACCTTCTGGGCAGGCCCATTGGAGCAGACCAAACCTACCCCTGACACTTCTGCTCCTGGTTCTGGGGCCTCAAGCCCATCTGGGGAGAAATAGGGTCATCTCCTCCCTGGTAGTGGGGTTGGGATTTCCCCCTGAGCACAGCAGCTTGCCAGACTCCGAGCCATGCCCTGTTCCCTGCATGCTGAGCATCACAGGATCTGGGGGAAGAAGTTTACCCTCTAAGGTGGTGGCTACTTGCATGCACAGCAGACTCCTGCCCTCTGCACCGCATTCAGGCAGCACCCGCAGAGCTCCTAGATGCATTCACAGGCATCAAGCAGTTGGTGCAAATATCTATCCTGCCTCCTGCTAGTAAAGAGCTGGGGATGCAGTCACTACACAGACACCTGAAGTAGTGCTTGTTAGCTGGACGAACGCCCTGAGAGAGAAGTCTGCGAGTAAACAAACAGGCTTCAACAACAATTACTGCAAATAAGATACGGCCCTCAGACTCAAGGCAGTTCCTGTTTGCAGCCCCTGCCGCAGGTGTATTGGCCCACAGGGAGCTAGCAACCTCGATGTCAGGGCAACAGACATGCACACACTTCATCTCTGCCCAAATGGCACTCTCTGTGCTGACCACCGTGCAGTGAAACCTCGAGCCAGAGCCTTCAGTTCTCAGGTTGCTGTTAGCATGCCGCTAGCAGCATGCAAGCAAACAGCAAGAAGTTCTGTGACACTTGCTTAATACACAACAAAAGACTTCCCTGCTCTGTTTGCCCACTCATCCCAATACCTCCCACTTCTGGCTCTGAGCATTGGAGAGCAGCCTGATCTCCGGGTCTTTGAGCCCAGCCTTGTAAGCCTGACTCAAGGTGTAAGAGGCTTGTGGAGGCACGGACAGTTTTAGGCTGAGTGTGCTATTCAGTGCCAGGCACTGAACTGAGGCCCCAAGAGAAAGCACACTCCCGGTCCTCACAGAGCTCTTGGCATTGCAGTTACCCTAGCTGGTGTTCAGTGACCATCCATTTCAAGCCCAGCTCTTTTCTAAGTGTGTTTCAAGGATGCTGTTGTTTAACCTCCCTGCAGGCACAGAACCAGGATTCCAACCCAGGCGCTGTTGCTTCAGAGGCCCAGCTACTCAGGACAGCACTTGGCATCAGGAGAGAAGAGTTTTGCCCCAGAGGTGTAGGAGGATAGAAAGCCACAGAAAAGTTACAGCAAAAGTGCGTAAGTGGTTGGAAGGAAGCTCCCCTGGGGTAGAGAGCCATGCAAGGTAATGAAGTAATAAAGCAGCTTCCCCGAGGCCCCAGAGGTGATCAGCCTCATTCTTCTGCCAGGGTAGCACCACATGCAGTGTCCCAGGATGGAAGCGTGCTGCCAGTGTATTCACCAGATGATGTCATTAATCTTCGTGTAGAAGGCCTGGGCGCTCAAACTAACAGAGCGTTCATGTCATCTGGTGAGATTTAGACACCCCCATTTCTGGACTGCATCTCATGTTAGTTAAATCAGAATCTCTGATGGTGGAATTTGGAATTCATGACTTTTTTAAAAAAACTCCCCAGATGATTCCAGTGTGCCATCAAGACAGAGCCACTGGGCTGGGGATTTAGCTCAGCGGAACAGCGCCTGCCTGGCAAGCCCGAGGTCGTGAGTTTGATTCCCAGTACCAGAAACAAAACAAAACAAACAAACAAACAAACAAAGACAGAGCCACTGAGCTAGACCAGAAGCTTCGATCACCAAGTACCCTTCTGGCCCAGACTAAGTTTCTCTTCGAGGCTTGGGAGCCTGGGGAGGGAATGCTATAAACCTGCACTGCCAAACCTCATTCCACTCCCTGGAGAAGCTGCTCCCCACCCCCACCAACCCTCTGTCTTCTGGGATGTGGGGGACAACATCAGGGCAAGAGGAGTGACAGTCTGGCCATGGAGCTGGCAGTTGGCTGGAGGGTGGCAGTGCTGAGCTCCGTGGACTCACATCTTTCCTCCCCCAACTGCCCCTGAACTCTGGCATGGTGTTCTGTTGCCCAGACCCACAAAAAAAAAACCCTTTCCTGGTTTTCCTATAGACCACTCACCTACCTGGCATTTCTAGAAGAAACTTTATCAACAAATCAAAGACAGCCAAAGTCAAGAACATAGCAAAACAATGGGCCAATCTTCTTTGCAGGTTTATGCCATCCCATTGTATGTGGAGAGGAGCTGTCCTGAGCTTTGGCCCTTTTTACTGGGAAGCCAGCCATCTGGTCTGGATGGGCTACACTGCCTGGCCCAGGCAGTGGGAGAACCTTGAGGTGGTTGCTTGAAATCAACCACGGTAAGAGTTATTTACACCTTGAAAACTGAAAATGGTTAAACCATAGATCAGATTGTTTTTCAGCCTAGGGAGTGGATTGTTGAACATTAGGCAGAACACCACTCGCTGGACCCTCCCCACTTCCTTAGCCCTCAGCTCCCTGGCTGCTTCTCACTTAGCATTACTGGGGTCTGGATCACTCTGCTCAGCCTCACCTCCATCTCCTTTTGTGTCTCAGGATCCTGGATCCAGGCAGGGCCCTAACTCATCCCCCCTGCTGGATGAGTGCTTATGCTGGATACTTTTCATATTTCTCTACTGGTAAGGGAGGGCTTATTTCTCTGACAGTGAGCAGAAAGACTTGCACAGTTGGAGCCAGTAACCTTCATCTTCAAGCATGGAGAAGAATTTAGGGAGGGCCACCTGCACCCCAGTCCTACCTGGGAGGACCCTGAAGGGAGGCAGTTCCTGCTTCCCACCATCCAGGCACTCTGCAGCCAGTAGTGGGTTAGGCAGCTCTAACCCTCTAGTTAGACACCCACACTCCCAGCCACCAGGAAGGGAATGGCAGGCACTTTAGAGGTGACGGGAAAATTGTCATTCTTTCTGAGGGCATCCAGCAAGAGCCTGGGAGGGCACAGACCTCAGAGGGAGAGCAGGGCTGCCGAGGAGGGAGGAGGGCACTGAAGAGGGACAATAACTGCGAGGCGTGGGCTGGGCAATTTGAGTTCCTCACTCGGCTGTCTCCTGATTGGAAGACTCTGTCATTTCTGAAGGGAATTGTTATTATTGGGCTTTGGTTGTGTGTTGAACCCCGGCACAGGAGTCTGGAAGGAAAGGCTGGGGCAGGTGCTCCTGCTCAATGCCCGTTAACCCACCTGTGCCAGCCAGCCTGGGGCCAGGAGAGGGAAAGGAAGCCAGGGCTTTTTCTCCTTCATTTTTCTTCCCTGCAGTGTCAGAAGGTTCACTGGCAGATTCGTAAACACTCGTGCTTCCCATCCTGTCTGTAGGGCTGCCTGTCATATTCCGCGCACCTTGGGAAACCCACGCTGCTGGGAAAGCACCTTAATGGTCCATGTGGTGTCCCCTTTGGCCCAGGCCACAGCCGCTGAGGAGTAAGGGCCATCATGAAGAGGAGAAGTTGAGGCTCAGAGAGCGCAGGCCTTGCCTGCAGTTGCTTTAAACGGCAGGGCTGGCTCTGGGACCTGTGTTCTGGCCTTGGTCTCTAGCTGTGGACCAGTGACTGTCAGCGCGCCATCCCTCCCACCTTCCTGGGCTTGGCACTTGGCTTGCAGAAATGTCAAGGGCCTGCCATGTGCTTCTGAAGGCAGGCACTATTCCAATTCTGTTGGCTTCCTGCCCTGTCCTGGTCAGGATATTTGGTCTGGGGCCTTGTGGTGTTGAGGAGGGCTTAGTCACTGGCTCCCACCTGGCTCCCTCCCAGCTCTGAGCGTGATCTAAGGAATAAGAACATGGCCCTGAAGTGCCAGGCACGGTTCCCTGTTGCTGCCAGGTTACCATAGTTTGCCCACTTGTCTCGTAGCATTCTTAGTGGCGTGTGAACTGCAGTTCACCATGCCATCCTTGATCTTAGTTGTTTTGGTCTCTCGGCAGCAAGAGCTGCCTTGAGGCTGCGTGTGAGGCCAGCCTGGCTCCCGACTGGCCTGGATGCTCGGGATGCTTCTGCCACGATAGAGGCCACTGTTCTCCTCTGGGACTTCACCCTCTTTGCCACTTCCCTGGGCCCCGGCCCCTCCTCCTCTCGGGGCCTTTTGTCCATGGTGGTTACAGGAATGAAGAACAGTGTTCCAGAGTGATCCTGTTTATCCTCTTGCCTCTTAGTTGGTCCCACTGGAAAGAAACAAGTTTCCCAATCAATAATGCTAATGACCAGTGAGATGTAAGTTGAGCTGACCTGGAGAAGTAATGGTCTGTGAACATACCCTGGTTCTGCTGGTATCGATTACCCTGAGCTCGCACCTATAGGCAGGAGTACAGGGTGCCCGCACAGGGAGGAGGGTCAGACAGGGTGTGGTGTTTGTGCTGGTGGGGACCCTTCTTCCCTGCCACAGGCCACAGAGTCTTTGTCTTTTGTCCCCAGCCAGGACATGAAGCTTTGCCTGCCACTCCTCCCCACCCCCCAACCACTCCATACACTTGGGGACCATGCAAAGTTAAGGGAATGTGACTTTGGCTTCATAATGGGATTCTAGAACCTTACATTCTACGTTCTGTAGTCATAGGCTGAAAGAGACAGAAGTAACCGGACTCCCAGCCTCTCACCATCTGGGAGAGTGAAAAATGGGAACAAGTGGAATGTGCAGTGACAAGGAGCAAGTAGCCAGAGTGACAGGTCCACACCTGTGATGGAGCCACAGACATGTCACAAGGGCAGGCACGTTACGGCTGGTGTCTAAGAAGCCCCTCAAGAACGCTAGGAAGTTGAGAAGGCCACGTGCCTTAACGCTGATTGGTTCCAGAGCATGGGGGCTGGTGATTTTGTGCTAGTATCGTCTCGGCTTCTAAATTGGATTACTGGGCCAGAGGGCCAGTGTCCTGCCACACCTTTGGTCCGGAGGACTGGGCCTGTCTGGCGCATGGGCACAGAGTGGGTCAGGCCGGAGACGGGTTCTAACTGGAATCTAGCTCTGGTCCCACAGTTGATTAAGCAACAATGATGGCGAGTCCACTGTGTGCCCAGCCCACCATGGCCTCCAGCCTGGAGGAAAGTAGGGTCTGGTTTGCGAGGTAGGTTGTGCAGCCGTCCACCTTACGGTGTTGAGCAAGCTGTGGGTACTGTCCTTGGTGTCACCTTCACAGAAGTGAACAAACATCCACAGGTTGCCAAGTGTGCCATGGGATACAGTGTGAAAGAAAGTGTTGTGAGAGTTCAGAGAGGCCCCGGGGGCGTGATAGGAGGAGGCCTTGGAGCTGGGACTCGAGGAGGAGCCGCACGACAAGGGTGGCTGGGGATGAGGGCGTGTTTCGGGCGAGCCAGGCCCCTTTCCTCTCCAGGTGTGCCGAGGCCCGAAGGCCCGGTTTCCGTTCCCGTCTCTGCCCTGTGCTCTGAAGCCTGGAGCTGGCGCAGCCTTCCGAGCTCTGGTTCCCCGTCCACAGTTGCGGCTCGTTTCCTGTCCTCCTCTCCAGCCTGCAGCCGTCTCTCCCTGCTGTCAGGACTTCGTGAGCACAAATGATCTTCTTCAGGCTTTATCTGAAAACTCCCAGCTGGCTCCTTGGGCTTGTCACTTGCTATTTCAACTGCTCTGGTTTGTTGATTTTGCCAGCTTTGACATGGTCTGATGATCCCAGTGCTCCTACCTCCGAGTTACCTGAATGACTTCATCAGTGAAATCAGAGGAAAGATACAGCTAATCCCTGCAGTGCCCCTTGGAAGCCTTTCCTTAGCAGGAGGTTCAGAGGATCCTGCAGACCCTTGGGAGGCCGCTTGGTGGAGACTTGGAAGAAGAGAGTGAGAGCTGGGCAGCACTGCTCCCACGAGGCCTGGAGTCACAGGAACTCAGTGGTTGGGCTGCAGCTGGCCTTTGTGCTACGTGCGGCAGCAGCCACAAGGAGGAGGTCTTCTTCCCGGCCTCAGGGGTCCCAGTGCTGTGCGTGGTTCAGAACCCCTGGCTTCAAGATGGAGGCATCATGGAGTCAAGTGTGGGAAGGCCCTTAGCAACTCCCCAGTTCAACCCCCTTTGGAGAAACTGAGGCAGAGGCACTCGTCCCCAGTGGGCGAAGGGGAGAAGGGTGGCTCAGCCAGTCTGGGCCCCTGTTTTTGAAGTTGGGACGTCTTGACAGATGAGGTTCAGAAGTCGGCAGTCCAGAGTCCAGCCTTACCTTGCAGGGCTGAGGGCCAGAGGGATGACTTGACATCCCATGACTTGTGGGATGAAGCACATGGGCTTTAGGATCAGAAACTTCTCTGTTTGGGCCACTCTCTGGCTTGGTGACTTTGGTCACCAAGGATCAGAGGGTGTTGTCCACCCGATGGGTTGGTATGAGGAGCCACTAGAGCAAGAAGTCAAACACCAGCATCCAGAAGCAGTCTGCCTCGCTGGGCCCATTTCAACAAGGGCTGACCTGATTTCCTCCTGTGTCCATGGAGGTTGGTACCCATGAAATGATTTTACCTCTTAAAAACCAAGTGCCAGGGGTTTTCTGACGCTGGGGTGGAGAGGAGAAAAGGGATGGTTCTGTCCCCCATCCTCAACCACTGGCTGTGCTGTGTGGGACAAGAGTCCAATGAATTAACACTCTCCATTATTGGGGGGAGGGCGGGAGCCCCAGCTTGAAAGAAAAGAGCCTGAGACAACCATAGGCAGCTAGCTCCATGGGAGCCCTCAGACCCATCAAGGTGTGGGACGGAACCAGGCCAGGCTCCCATCCCACCTGTACTGTGACATCTGCCTCTGAATGGGCTCCGAGCTGGGGGACGGGTGCGGAGCACCTTCATTCCTTCCTGCCTGTTCTCCCAGGGGAAAGTCTGCTTTGTGTGTGACCCTGCCCTCCAGAAGTAGCTTGGACCCTGGTCCTCCTTTGTTCTCTCCTTCAGGACTCACTCTTGTCCTCCTCACCTGTGCCTACTTGTCCGAGAGGTAATGACAGCGCCACTGTCTGTCAGGTAGCCAGTCTTCTTGCTGGGAACCCAGCTCTTAGCTTGAGTGCCCCACATCTCGCTGCCCAAGGCTCTGAACTGAGCCCTGGTCTAACACATAGCACCCTCCCCAGGAGCTGAGCAGCTGTTACCTTGTGTAAGGGTGAGTGAACTCACCTGTGAGGGGATTTGGTTTTGTATTCACAGGGCTGGGGGACCCCTGTGCATCACTTCCCTCTGATGAAAGCTACCCCAAGGCTGGGCCACACTGTTAAGTTGCCTCTTCCTGCTATGCTTTGATGGCGCTTCTATCTCCAGTGTCTCTCATGATCTCTGCAGTTCCTGGGCAAGACTAGGAACTTTCCAGCTGGGTTTCTCAGCTCCCGGCAGAGAGCTGGGGCTCTGAGCTTCTGCGAGGGTGGGGAGGGGTTGGGGAGCCTTAACCCCCTAACCCTCCTCCCTCTCCACGCAATCTGCGGGCTTATCTCTGGGGCCTTGGGCTGGTGGTAGCTGTGCAGCCCAAGATGAGAAGATCTACGGGAAACCCTTCTTTCAGGGCAGTCAGCAAGCAAATGCCTGTGATGGGAACCTTACGGGGTCCCAAGATCCTGTGAGCTGCCCTGTGTCCCTGGCTTCTGTTTGAGATAGCATCCCACGGCTGTGGAGGGGATTGCTTCTGGCTGAGTGGCCTAGGGAGCTGCGAGCATCACAGGCAGTGGACATCACAGGCAGTGGAAGACACAGTCTTGTTGGGTCCCAGGATGCCCTGAAGGCAGACTTTTTTTTTATCTTCCTATTTTTTTTATTAGTAAGCCCTCAACACATGTCATTTTAAAAAACATTATCTAGGTGGGGTGTTAGCAGGTTAGTAACCCATAGTTATTGTGGGCAGATTAGGCCTGCAATCTCCCAAATGAGTGCACACTGAAGGCTTAAATAAATGAGATAACTGAAATGATTTTAGGGCTCTAGGAGGGTTCAACCCTCTCAGAATTCAAGATTCTGTGGGTTAAGACCAAGACTTCCCTGGGCAGCCTGTATGTGTTCGGTTTTCAAACAAAGGAGGGAGATACTAAAGAAAATGTAGGAATCTGGGCAGGACTCCAGAATCCCTTTACGGATTTAGGAGAACTGTGTTAACTCCAGGAAGGCCTTCACTGCAGGAGTGGGGTACCTGCAGCTACTGTCTCCTTTTAGTTAATTGGGGTTGGAGCCAAAAGTCCTCAGCTGTGGCCTTATCTTGTCCTTTGAGATGTTCCAACTTCACAGGCCAATACAGGCCTCAGCGAAGACCAGTGACTCATAGAGATTCATTTACTAGGAGTCCACTGCCCATCTTCAGACAAGGTGCCAAAAACTCCCAAGTAAACATGGAAAGCCAGTTGGTTAATATTAAATCCTGTTTAGAGTGGCTTCATAGTGGTCTCCATCAGGGTGTGGTAATTTCAGCACTTGGGAGGCTGAGGCAGGAGGAGCACCACAAGTTCAAGGCCAGCTTGGGCTACATAGTGAGTTCAAGGCTACCCTGAACTACATAGTAAGACCCTATCTCAAAAAAGGTGCCCCCCTCAAAATACCCCAGGGGCCGGGGATATAGCTCAGTGGCACAAGTGCCTGCCTGGCAAGCACAAGGACCTGAGTTCAATTCCAAGTACAAAAAAAAAAAAAAAAAACAACACATCCCAGGTGTAAACATTGGCTGGGGATATAGCTCAGTGGTGCAAGTGCCTGACTAGCAAGCACGTCATGAGTTCACTACCCAGTACCAAAAAAAAAACCAAAATAACCCAAAACATTATCAAACTGGACATAGTGGTATGTGCCTGTAATCCAAGTGCTCTGGGATTACTTAATTACTTAAATTAAGTTACTTAATGCAGTGATGCCTGTTAAGTCACTAGAAACCTGGGAGTCCATAGTGATAAGAGAAATGGGAGAGGATGGAAGGCTCTGGCTTACATAGAACGCTGAGGGACAGCTAGTGTTGGAAAATCAGCTTCCAAAAGATCAGGTCAGGCAAGAATCTTCAGTGGGTGCTAACTCGGGGAAAGGAAGCTGAATGGTGTAACAGGAGGATATTTGCATGCTTTTTAAATGTGTCCCCACAGACCTCTTGTTAATTGCAGGAGAGAATACAATAGTAATTACACAGTGGACAAACTGAGCACCGCATTAACCAAGTGATCAAAATTGACCATAAGAGATGAACTTAGCGTGCCTCCCGCGTGAAGTCCCGAGAGCAGCCCACCTGTGCAGACTTCCAGCCAGGCACACACCTCCCAGTCTCTTGATAGGCCAGAAAAAGGGGAGTAACGCAAATAGGCAGTGCCGGGAGCTGTGGCTTAGGTCCACCTGTTCTGCGGGGTCTGTGCTACGTGATGCTGTCCCCTCATGTATAACTCAGTGTATTGGGCCTTGGATTAGTTACATCATTACTTGTATCTGTTACCACCTGGGGCTTGGGGTGAGTTTTGAGAAATGCCCTGATATCTTCACGTATATTGGGTAGAAGGCAACTTGACGCTTGATTTCCACAATCCACACATTAGTTGGAAATTAGAGCGATAGCAGGAGATCAATTTGCTCTGATTCCAGAGAACATTGACTCTCTGGGTCATGACCCACACAACATACCCTGGGACTTCCCAGTGAGCTCTTAACAGGTACTGACACCAGAGGGACACAGTATCAAGAGCCCTGGTAAGGTGAGTCCTTAGATGGAACCAGGATAGATCTCCTTTGAGGACTGCTCAGGGGCACCACAGACTACAGCAGCGATGCCGAACCCTTTAGAGCTTTCAGTGATAAACAGCCCACTGCAGAATGCATGCCATATGTTTGCTACCACTGGACTAGAGAATGGTGTGTCTGTGATCAGTAAGAATTCCCATACAGCCCATATGCAGCCTCTTCTCTCTTGGCCAGGATCTTCTTAACCTCAGGGACAGAATATTTTGCTTTTTAACAGTAATACTGAGGTGTGTAATAGAATAGGTAATTATAACTATATATATTATGTATATCACATACCAATCCAAAAATGGGCATCTGAGATGAACACACACTTCTCAGATGAAGAAACACAAATGGCAAATAAATACATAAAAAAGTTCAACATCATTGGTCATTCAAGAGATAGAAATTAAAACAACACTGAGATTCCATGTTACCCCAGTAAGAACAGCTATCGTCAAGAAATCAACCAGTAGAAATGCTGGTGAGGCTGTGGGGAAAAAGGAACCCTTCTCTGCTGTTCATGGGAATATAGGGTATTCATACCCTATAAAAACATTGTACCACAATGATATATGTGTACCCATGTTTATAGCGGCACAATTTGTAATAGGAAAATCTTGGAAACAACCCAAATGCCCATCAACCGAGGAATGGATAAGAGAGATGTATGTTTATACAATGGAGTATTACTCAGCTATAAAGAAGGATAAAGTTGAGACATTTATAGGGAAATGGATGCAACTTGAGTGCATACTTATAAGTGAAATACATCAGACTCATATGTGTAAATAACATATTGTCTCCCTAGTGTAAGAAGCTGAAAGAGTAAATAAGACACAAAATGTACAATGGATATTGTGAAATGGGAAGAAAATGCTCAAAAGGAAAGAGAAACTGGAATGGGAAAGAAAGAAAAGGAAAAGGAAAAATAGATAAATATGTATACATATATGTACACTTAAGATATACTACTAATTGCTGTTAGCTCATTGAAAAGAAAGGCTTATGCATATATTGTTTGGTCAGTTTTTCATGCCTGTATCTTGTAGTATGAGCAGCTACTTTGAAGATAACAATACGCAGTGTACTAACCATTGTTACTCTCCTACTATCTTGTTTTGAAATTTTATACCATTGTTTTTATTGTTTATTTTTCTTTTTTAAAAAAGGAATGCTTTCTAGTGGCTCTAGTATTCCGAGGGGCCTCAGACTGCACCCCTAGGGCTGGGGACCAGGAGCTGAGCCCTGTGCCATGGGCCCTGGAGGGCTGCCCCTGCCCACTGGCATTCCAGGTCTCCTGTTCACTGTCCCTTTGCCTGTGTTCTCTGCCTCTAACCTGTCACCTCTCTCCCCAGCAGATGTGCCTGTGGAGAAGCTGACCACCATGCCAGCCCTGCGCACCATCAACCTCCGCTTCAACCCGCTGAGCGCCGAGGTGCGCGTCATCGCCCCGCCACTCATCAAGTTTGACATGCTCATGTCTCCCGAGGGTGCACGAGCCCTTCCACCTTAGGCCACTGTCTTTGTGCCACCCAGCAAGGGCCAGAGGCCATTGGCCTGCACCTTGGAGGAGGGTGGCTTACGGGCCCACGGGAGTCTGAGCTTGGGGGGACGGGGTGGGCCGGATAGCGTGTGGTGGGAGGGTGCTGCGACTGGCCCAGGGCAGCTAGTTTAGAGCCATAGTGGGCCCTGGACCACCCCGAGGGCAGAGGTAAGGCGGTGCTGGCTCTGACAGACTCTCTGAGCCTTGTCACTTGGGAGGAGAGGTGACAGCCCAGAGCCTTTCCTCCCTGGGCTCCTTGGAGATTTTACCTTCAAGTAATTGGGAGCCTTGAGCCCAAGGAAAGCACTGCTGAGCATTTGTGGGCCCTGTGGGTTTGAGGCTTAGTTTCTAGTGCTGAGAGCCAGTCACTGCCCTGAGAGGAGAAGAAGACAACCCCCATGTATTGCTTTCTGACAACTGAACTGAATAAGGCCCTTCTCTCCCACTATGGGTTCCTGGGCCGGCAAAGGCCTGAACCAGGAGTCCTGGGCGTGGGTGGAGAGGGTCGCTCTGCATAGCAGGGCAAGAATATCTGTGAAGGATCCGGAACTCAGTGAGAAAACCGGGGCTTCTCCCATCTGTCCTCGTGGTGAAGAGAACTGTGGGACTCTGAGAGCTCGTCCCTCCCCAGGGAGTGGCCAGCTGTGCCTGCTCATCAAGCCCTGAGCTACCGGAGGGTGGCCCAGAGAGGACAAAGCCATTTGTGCCTGTGGCACTGGTCCATAATCATTAGAGGGCTGCCTTCGCAGTGGTCTCCGTGTAGCTGCAGTCTGGCAGCCTTGTCACGGCTCCCTGAGGACAGAAGACACTGGACCTCCGGATTTGTAAGCAGCCAGTTCCAAGGCCACTACTGAAGTTCCTGATGACCTAGCTCTTTCAAGGCCCTCACTGTGAGTCTAGAGTGTGGCCAGGCAGTAGGGTGACCGGCCATCCTGCTTTGCCTGAGACTGAGGGGTTCTCAGGATGGGGGACTTTTAGTGCTGAAGTTGGGACAGGCAGGGGTGGCTGATCCCCTCCTAGGAGAGTCTTGGAGCTTTTGTTTTCTGGTAAAACCTGTGCTTTGGATCCCTAGTATCTACCTCCTGCGTCTCACCTGTGGAGCAAGCAACTCAGAATGCCCCAGGCCCCACTGGTCTGTACCTCTCTGAGTCTGGAGAGGCTACTGAGGCCCCAGGACTTGGGCAGAGCTGGGCCACTTCCCCTCTCCTAGGTTTAGGCTGTCCAGAACTCAGAGCAGAGCTCCCCACCCCACATACCTTTCCCTTCCAAGTCTCCTGTCCCTTGGCAAAGGGCTGACAGGTTGGACACTGATTAGCCTTTGTTACTCAGTACTCTGTGTCCCAAGTGAGACCTTGTTCTTTCCAAGGCCTGGTTGACCAAACGCTGGAGGAAGGGTCTCCAGGGGGAGGTGGTCGGGCAGGATCACCAGGAATACTGATTTCAGCCATGGACACTGAGGGCAGTGGGAGGCTCAAGTGCAGTTCAGGCTGGGCCGGCCCCACCCCCTCTGTGCCAGAGTGGGGTTTTCTTACTGAGGAAGAGCCTGCTGCTTTGGGATGCATGAAACCATCGTACGGCTGCAACCTTGCAAAGGGAAGCGTGGTCAATGACATGCAACTGCAGTGTCGCTGGGAGCCTGTCAGAGATGAGCCTCTCAGCCTCCTTGCAGCCTCCTGAGCCAGAACCTGCATTTTAGGAAGGTCCCGAGTACTTTCTACTTTGAGAAGCGGAGGCCTAGGGGTGACCTGGGATGTCCTTGGAGTGGAAGGTGAAGGATCTTACTTCTCCCTGCCACCTCCAGGCACGTGAGTCTATGCTCAGCCTCCTCCTAACCTGACCCGAGAGACCTTGGCCCCTTAGATCTTCAAAGAGTCTGCATGACATTCCTATGAAGGGAGTGACTGCAGTCACTAGGATATAGGGGCTGGGCATGCGAGGCCCTCTGAATCTGCCTCTGCTCCACCAAGCCACCTGCTTCCTGGGTCCTCACCTCAGGTTCTCTGAAGGGGTTGCTGTTGGAAGTTGTTTTCTCCTCTGCTTGGGCAGATTGCCCTTGCCTCTTGGGGGAAGCCTGGACAGCCAGAGAAGCCCCCAAATCCAGGTTCCCAATGTGAGTGAGCCCTTAGCTTCAGCCTGCAATAAAGAATGTGTTGGTTTCATCTGCTTGGTTGATGTTAGATTCATTCTCGGCACACAGACCTCCAGGGGGCTGGGCTGACAGCAGTCCCCTTACAAAGAGAGGCTGACCCTATTGTGGAAATCACAGGTGAAGGAAGCCAGGATGGAGTGATATTCAGAATAGTCACAGGTACAGCCAAGCAGCTCGATGTGTGGCCTGCAGCTGGGCCCATGCAGAACTATCAGGTTTCACCTCCGGGAGGATGAGAGCCTCTGGTCGCCCCTGATTGGTGTCATCCATGTCAGTCTTGCTAATTCATTCCTCTGGGTCCATAGTTGTCAAAAGAGTGGTTTCTGGACAGGCAGCTGCAGCACCAGCAGGGAGCTGGTCAGAAATGCAGCTCCTCAGCCCCACCACAGATCCAGAGTCAGAAACAGAATCAGCTTGGTTCTGGCTTCAAGGTTAAGCAAGATTTTTGTTGGTTTTTTAATTTGAGGGTCCAACTTGAGTGTGGTTCGAATTGTAGACCAGACATTCCATGATATTTATTTAACAGGCACATAGAGGGCTAGTGGTCAGCAGGCAGTGTCTCTGCATGTTACAGGTATTAATTCACTTCTCTGTAACAGTCCTAGCTAGTTTTGTGATCCCTGACCAGATCCTACTTTCTGTCTGTAAAATGAAAGGAGCACACTTGCAGTTCCCTGAGGGTCACAGCTTCTCATGTTTTGAGGACTCTGCTTTCACTTATAACTGTGTCTCTGTGGATGAGCCATCTCCCACCTCAAAGGTCAGAGAGGACTCATACCTGCAGAGTTCCTGTCCGGCGCTGGCTCAAGGGGACATTAGCAGGTCTACCTATTGGCCAGACCCTTCCTGCTAGAGGGATAACCAACAGTTTCTCCAGGGCCAGTGATGGCAAACCTTTTAGAGCTTTCTGTGATACAAACAGCCTGCTGTGGCACATGTGCCATAGGTTTGCCACCACTGTTGGGCTGAGGGACCATGGGATTCCGGTAGGGTTTTCGTGTAGGGAAGCCCAGATTAGGAGTGGGGAAAAATCATGACAATACTCTATGGGCTTAGAAGCATGGGTTTATAATCCCAGCACTCTGGGAAGCTCAGGCAAAAAGTGGCAAATAACTTTTGAAAGTTCAAACCTAGCCTGGGCAATTCAGTGACATAGAGAGACTCTGTCTCAAAATATATTTAAAAAAAAAATTTTTAAAGTGTTGAGATATAGGTCAATGCAAAGGCCCTGGGTTCAATCTTCCAGTACAAAAAAGAAGATCATAACATATCTTAGGTAGACACAATGAAGGGGGATTTTGAGGCAAAGGGTTAAAAAATTTTGGATCATGGCATGTTGTACACACCTGAAATCCCAGCACTCAGAGGCTGAGGCAGGAGGATCATGGTGAGTTCAAGGTCAGCCTGAACTACATAGTGAGGCCCTGTCTTAAAAGACAACAAGGGCTGGGGATACAGCTCAGCGGCACAAGCGCCTGTCTAGCAAGCACAAGATCGTGAGTTTGATTCCTGGTACCAAAAAAAAACTAAAAAAAAAAAATAGTTTTGGGGTATAAACTCTTTTTTTTGGTACCAGGAATCGAACTCAAGACCTTGCACTTGCTTATGCCGCTGAGCTATATCCCTGGCACTGGGGTATAAACTCTTGGTGCTATTAGGAGTTGAGCAGTTTGACATTGCTTTGGCTCAGAAAATCTCTGAAATAAACAGGAAGTTATTTGCCACTTCTACTTCCTGGGCAAGTTTCCTAAAAAGTACAGTTATATAGAAGAAGAGAGTGGAATATCGGAGTTAATGTAGACAGCTTTGTGGGGCTACATTTTGATTTTCTTTCAGATGCTATGTTGGACCCCAGAACCCTGCTCTGAAGCTAGTCTTCACCTGTAATGTGCAGAAAGCCAGCCAGGGGAGTGGGGGCGCAGTTCTTGGCAGGGTGAATTGGCAGCCCCCCCAGAAGGCCTCAGCAGGGCCCTGGGAGAGAGGCCAAGATGAGCAGGGTGGGCCGGGGAGAAGAGTGCGGGTGAGGATATTGGGTGGGAAATCTTCTGGGCCCATGGGCAGTGGGGCTGAGTAGTGTCTTGGGACCAAGCAGGCTGGGCCTATCCCCTGAGGAAGGGACAAAGCCACAGGCCTCGGGCAGGCACTTGTGTGTTTTCTTGCCCCTCTTGATGCCCACTGAGTGGATGAGGAGACAGGCTGGAGTGCTAGCACAGGCCCAGGAAGGAGCAGAACCAGGCCTTGTTCAGACTGGGTTGCTTTGCTGCTGCAAGTCCAGGGCCTTTGCTGTGAGCCCGGGGTCTCTCAGGAGGGTGGCTTGGATGGAGGAAATGACCTGTCACTTTCCTCATTTGTAAAATGGGTGTCAAAGCCAGATGTGGTGTTGCACACCTGTAACCCCAACACTGTGGGAGGCTGAGGCAGGAAGATTGGAAGTTTGAGCCCTTCCTGGGCAACTTAGTGACTTAGCGAGAGCCATTCTCAAAATAAAAAAGGGCTGGGGATGTTGCTCATTGCAAAGGCCCTGTGTTCAGTCCCCATTATCAGGGAAAGAAGGAAAGAAAAGGTGCCAAGATTGACTATGCCGAATGGCAACACCTAATGCCAGTTAGGAACATACAGTGGCGATAGGTACAAGACATTGTGCCGATCTCACACACCTGACAGCTCGCATAGCTACTTTCACCTGCCACTGGGTGGGCAAAGCCTTTGATGACCAGCCAAGAACCTGGCCTCTTACAGCAAGCAGAGCAGTCCCTACACACCCCTGGGCCATAGCTGGAGGCCGGCAGGAGATCAAGTCCCACAGGGAATGGGAGACTGACTCTGCTCCTCCCAGCCTCACCGTTCAGGGACCTATGAATGCACCATCTTGGGCTCCAAGGACAGCTGACGAGGCCAATAAGGAGGCACTCAGGAGTTGGTCTGGAGCATGTGCTTCTCCACCTGTGCACAACCAGATTCACACCAGAAAAGGCACCTGGCACCTTCTTTCCTTAGGGGCAGCACCTAAGTTGTCTCCACGAGACTGCCCCAGTGCAGGGCTGGCGGTGAAGTGTCATTCACAGTGCAGGGCCTGTAACCGGCACCATCTACGTGGAAAGCTACGAGAATGGGCACCTGGAGTCTTGCAGGGGTGGTGGCGCTGCATCTCGGAGCTGGTTATGAGCGGCCGGGTCAGCTGGGGCTGATTCCCAGGAAAGTAGGCTCTAGAAGTAGGACTCGCACCTCTGCACCTTAGAGAGTCTGTTAATCCTCTGTGCAGCATGTGAGACTCCTGCTAGACCTTACTGCATACAATTCTAGTTCTAAACGGTTCCCCATTTCCTTCAGGGCAAAGCAGAGGCCTCACGATGGTGTTTCAAGCCTGGTGTCATCTGCCCCTGTTGATTCATTGGTCTTACCGGTTCCCAACCATTTCCCCAACGCCCCAGGGCACTCATGCTTCAGAGCCTTTGCATTCACCACCCCATACACCCAGGGCCAACTCCTTTATTTCCTTCAAGACCTGACTCAAAGGAAGGCCTTCCCTATCCGCCCTACTGCACCTCTCCAGTCCAGTCCCAGCCTCTGCCTCATCCTTCACCTACTCAATTTTCTCTTCATAGTGCTCACCTTCTAATATACTCTGAAGTATTCCATCTCTTGCTTATTATCCATTCACTCCCACTAGAATCTGTCTTGGTCTCTGCTGTACCCCCAGCTCGTGAGCAAGCCCTCGCACACAGTAGGGACATGGTGTGTACTACTGAAGGCCTGAACAGCAGATGGTGGTGCCCCTGGTGCTTGAGGGCCTTCACTTTAGAGAGAACTGCTGTCTGGCAGGGCCGCTACCAGCTGAAGTTCAGGTCCCACATTAAATACCAGTGCTTTCCACCCAGAGAGTTTGCTTCCATCCGACTAAAAACAGTAGGGAATCGCGCTCCCTTTGGGCTTCCCAGGCCCTCACGAGCCATGTGATTGTGGCTGGGGCTTTTCCTAAGCCTGATGGCCCAAGGGAGGATGGGCTGTCTTCCCGCCCCACGCTCTGCCTGAAACCCTGCCATTGTGAGATCCCTGCTTTTGGACAAGCAGTGTCTGCTCCCTGTGATCTTATTTCACATCCTGTCAGGATTTAGAAGGGGATTCCTGAAACAAAGTTGAGATTGCAGCTACACTAGGCCCTTGCTACTCAAAAGCATGGTCCTCAGATGACTAGAATCACAGCACTGGGGGGACATTAAAAATGTAGAGTCTGGGGCTGGGGGCGTAGCTGCTCAGTGGTAGAGCACACACTCAGCATGTGTGGGGTCCTGGGGTCCATCCCCAGATACACCACACACACACACACACACACACACACACACACACATGTGCGTGTGTGCACACAGCAAATTAGAGCCTAGATCTCTTCCCAGACTCTGTCCTGTAACAAGATCTGCATGTGACTTGTGGGCATGAAGTCCTGGCAGGCAACACCTTTGGATTTTTCTACTGAACACAGACCCACAAGTTGACGTGAAACTTCACAGAGTCTGTGTCCTTAATTAACAGTGACGAACAATATTACAATGTACGCTGTCACAGGCAGGCTTGTTGAGCTGTTTCCTTGCATCAGGTACCAGCTGGCCTCTTTTCTAGGTTTGGGGTAATATTTTCTATCACAGATTCCCCCAGGATGGTGGCTTTTGACTGTTAACATCCCTGGGATCAACTTTATTTTTTTTTTTTTAATTTTTTTTTTTTTTTGGTTTTTCTCCGGTACCGGGAACCGAACTCACGACCTTGCGCTTGCCAGGCAGGCGCTTTGCTGCTGAGCTAAATCCCCAGCCCCGGGATCAACTTTATTAACTGCTCTGTTTCTGTTAGAAAAAGGGCTGGAGTTGCCCAAAGCTTGAAAAGAAAGGAAAGAACCAGAGGTGCAAAAAGGAACAGAAGAGGTGAAAAGCAGCCAACAGGAAAATAAATACGAGCAGCTCGCTGGTGTCTGTGAGCAGGCTGAGTGCTTTCTGCTCACCGTCCCACTTAACCCCCAC